GAGCTGGATACACCTCCTGGACTCTCCCTTGTTATAGGCCCTAACACATTATAGTCACCTGCATCTCCTTCCCTCACTGCATCTGCTGTTCTGCTGTTACACCTCAGCCCCTAGAACCGTGCCTGGCAAAAGTTGCATGAATGACTGAATGAATTTGTTTAAATTGGTTGGGTCTAGAAATAATGATCTTAATAGCAGATAGTGAGTTTAATATTAGAATTATATTTTGTGGAGTACATTATAACACTGTGAGATTGTCCTTAAAAGAGCATATAATAGGGAATAGTGAAGACAAGCAGCCAGAAATTTCATTTTTTTCTGATTTCCCAGGTCTGCCAAGCTCACTCAGAGCCTGTCTTTGAATAGACAGTGCCTTCTCTCGAGGGTTCCAAGACTTAGTTGTAGAGTTCAGATCAGAATTGCTTCCTTGCAACTCTTTAACCTCAGGAAGGCTATTGATCCTTCCAGGGTCCCAGAGTTCCAGCATCTCTTGAATTCACCCTGGTAATCCCATTTCACCCCACTCACCCCCCTTCAGTTTCCTCAAGTGGCTGACTGTTCTAGCCTTTGCCCTTCATTAAACCAAATTGCCTGCAGGGACTTGGTTTTCTTCTGTGCTGTGCCCCTCCCTGGCCCTGTGCCACCTCAGTCCTGTGTCCCACTTCCCAGCTATGTTTTGTGGATGTTCTTCAGTCCTATGTTGGTACCCCATAGGGCTGTTTAGAGTCCACTGCAGAATTAGAGGTTCAGTAAAGACAGCTGCATATAATTGAGGGGAGGAGGAGGAGGATTAATTATTACTGAGATGTTTGCCTGGAGTTTTAATTAGCCTGCCTTTCCTTACTTCCCTCTTTTTTTTCCCCCCAGCTCAGAATGTCCTCTTAGAATGTTAGTATTTTAGAGACTTGGAACATTAGGTTTTAACATTCTGCACCCAGAGCCTCAGTGTAATAAATAAATCAATAGGCTGATTGCCTCCAGTAGCTTGATTGCTGAGTGCATTGGGGTACCTTTTGTTCTTGAGTGAATGATCATTTCACACACTGGCAAATGAGAAACAAATGTGGGTGTAGTACTTGTCCGGGCTTCTGATTTGCAACCCTGACCTGGGAACTCATTATTTCCAGCATTGTGTGTAACTTATGAGCAGCTTGCCAAATGTTCTGTCTCCTTCCCCTTGACAGTTCTCCCAAGTTATGTGTGTCATAAAAAGATTTCGCATTTGCCAGAATAATCCTGAGTTTGTTTTGGATCTGACAGGTCCTCTGATATTACATTCTTAAATCTCACTAACAGATAATTTATACCAAAACTACCGCCTTGACAGGAAGTAAAGTTATATGATTTTCAATTTGGGTTGAAAATCAACTCAAGTTTTGACAATACTGAGACTCTTAGACCCTACAGATTAATCATGATTATCTTACCGTGAAATACTTTTTGTAGTAGGAACTACCCTCCATTTATTTTTTCTGTCAAAACCTGTGATTGGAAAATGTTTCATAATGGGAATATTGTCATTTCTACAGATGCATTTATTTCATGGTGTATTCCAACCACAATATGGTTGCCCCTCATTTTATGCAATAGGTATGCCCCTGAAGAGTTGCTTATAAACTGAAATTTTATAGATATATTTATAATTACATGCGCATGCAGTGCTACTGTTTTACCTAATAGTTTCTTTTGTAATTAGAAAAATGACTCCCAAATTCATCTGAAAAGTATAACACTCATGTATTGGGTCTTGTTTAGATGAAGTAATCTTAATACAAATCAGGCAAGATTATCAACTAGCTTCTACTCTCAATAGTGCTGGCTTATAACACATTTCATCCCAATAGGAGACTGCAGGTTTTATACATTCTACATTTTCTCACAGATATTCAAACGCTTCCAGAGGAAAATCTGCCCCTCTTAGAGCCACCCCTTGCTCTGTCTTGTATAGTTCTTTCAGGGAAGGAAGAGGGGGATGCTAGCTCAGAGTTGGGATGATTTGTGATGTTCTGCTGGAATATTACATAACCTAGCAGGTAATTTTTTTGAGACAGGGTCTTGCTCTGTAGCCCAGGCTGGAGTGCCCAATTATAGCTCACTGCAGTCTCAAACTCCTGGACTCCTGGGTTCAAGCAATCCTCCCATCTCAGCCTCGTGAGTAGTTGGAACTACAGGTGCATGCCACCATGCCCAGCTATTTTTCATTTTTTTGTAAAGGTGATGTCTTGCTTTGTTGCCCAGACTGGTCTCAAGCTCCATGATTCTGTGTATTCTGGCTCTCTATTGCTGTGTAGCAAACCACTCCTACATTTAATGGCTTAAGAAACTTATTATTGTCTCTTCCATTCTGTGGGTTGTTTAGCTCAGCTGGTTGGTTGTCACTTGCACTTCCCACGTGTTGGTGCAGTCAGGCATTGACTGGGGCTGTAGTCATCTGAAGGCTGGACTGAGCAGGACAACTAAGATGGCTTCTTGACATGACTGGCAGTTGAGACTGTCAGCTGAGAGCTCAGCTGGGCTGTGGGCCCCAGCACACACATGTGACCCCTTGTGTGGCTTGTGCTTCTCACTTGTTGATTGGGTTCCAAGAGGGACAGTCCCAAGAATGAGTGTTCTCAGAGATCCAGGCGGAGGCTGCAAGGCTTCTTATGACCTTGACTCAAAATCCCAGAACATCGCTTCTTCCACATTCTATTGGTTGAGGCCAGGGAGTGACTAAGGCCAGTCCAGATTCAAGGGGAGGGAATTAGACTTCACCTCTTGATGGGAGTTGCAGCATGTGTGTACTGCGGAGAAAAGAATGGGTAGGGCCTATTTTTAACTACCTACCATAATGTTCTAGAGGAAGGACATTCCCTTGAGGAACAAGATGACACAAATATGAAGGGTGCATAAGCCATTGTAGGCAGTGTAGGGAGGTTATAGAATGCTTAATACATATAATATTTACAAATGAATTGGCCAGCCTTGTTGGTTAGAACTGAGTACTGGGGAGTACACAATAAATGAGCCTATTTCCGTGGAAGCCAGTTAGCGTCCTACAGAGAGAAACATTCCCCTTTACTGACCCTAGCCCTAAATGAGCCACCTATGTTACAGATGTTTGAAAAAAGAACTTAGGGAATCTAAGTAGCACAGTTTTAAAGACGTATTTGCCTAGAAGCTACCCCAAGTATGTATCCTATTCACATTGACTCAGTAAAACCATCTTCGTAAATTAGAACCACAAACACATAGAGAACTGTGAAGTAATATGTCTAGTATAAATGTTTTTCAGCTCACATTTTGGAGGTGCTTAGGGAAGGCTGTGCCCACAGCTATCTTACATACTTAGAATGGACACTTTTTGATGTTTGAGGTAAAGTCAAGTTCTATCCATGTACTTGGAAGTATAATTACCTCCTTAGCTTTAATCAGGAAAACAGCTGGCCTGTTAAACACACTGAGCTACAGGTCCTTTGATTTCAGCTGTGGAGCTTGGCCGATCTGGATGCACAGGCTGACAACTCCCTTGAATACATTACTTTTCACCCTTGGTAGCATTTTTCCCTTCCTCCTGCATACTCCTCGTTGGCTCCCTGGGGATTCAAATTTGTGTTTATTGTGCTGAAAATTTAGAGGCAAGATAAACAACATTTTAAACTATTTATAACCAGAGGCTATGCCAGAAATGAATTAGGCTTTGCATTTGACATATGTTAAAATGTTGCTTGCTGGCAAAGGTAGGAAGAATATCCCTAGGTGTGAAAAGCAGATGGTTAAAGACGACTGATAAAGCTTTGACCCAGAATATAGCTATATGGGATTAGCACTTGTCTTAATTTGGGCTTCTATAACAAAATACCATAGACTGGGTAACTTATAAACAACAGAAATTTATTTCTGTCAGTTCTGGAAGCTGGAAGTCTGAGACCAGGGGCCGGCATTGTCAGGTTCTGGTGAGGGCCCCTTTCTGGTTTGCAGACTGCCTACTTCTCATTGTATCCTCACATGATAGAAAGAGCACAGGAGAGCTCTTAGGAGTCCCTTTTATTAGGACATTAATCCCATTTATGAGACACTCCACCCCCGTGACTTAATTACCTTCCAAAGGCTTCGCTTCCTGATATCATTGCACTGAGGGTTAGGATTTTAACATATGAATTAAGGGGGAGGGGCACACACATTCAGTCCATAGCATTATTCTATTGACTTATTAAACGTATTCTTGTGGAATGCTAGGGATAGAGAGGATCCTGGAGATGCCATTTATATAGGGCCCATATTTTTATACCACCAGGAGGACATTTAGCAAGGGTAAGGAACATGCTCTGGAAGGAGGTATGGGAGAGAGGATGAGAAAGAGGCACCATACAAACATAAACCTTAGGGTGGTGGACACACTGTGGTAAGGAAAGAACTCTGTCTGACTTCTTCCATGTGAATCATCCCAGAGAGAGACCTCTCTTGCTCATTAGATCGCTGATGAAGAGTCCACATGCTCCCTTAAATATTCACCTCTCAGTCACACTAGTATAGACCCACCACAGTCTACCTCCGTTCTTTCCTTCTGCCTATAAATATTGGTTGAGCTCCTACCATGTGCAGGCACTGTGTTATGTGGATGAATAAGACACATGAGCTATCAAGTTGAAAGACATGCAATAAACCAGTGAACAAGTAATATAATGAAAGATTATGATTAGTGTTATGGGGGAGAAAAGGGGTGTGATACAGAATAATGGGCGTGTGTGTCCTGTTTTGGATAGGATGATCAAGATAACCCTTCGAGGAGGTGACATAAATGATTTCAAAGTGATTAAACTTTGGCATGTGTTAACTGCTACTTAAACATTCCTTAAACTGCACGTTGTTAAGGTTCACGTTAAAATAGTGTTTGCCTTTTCTGAGCCCAATTTGCAGAATGCTGAATGGACAGCAGTTCTGGGGAATAGAGGGAAGCCAGCTGGATGGGGAGACCTCTCCTGGCCAACACGTTCCTCATGACCACCTTCTCTCCTTAGGAAAAGGAGACGTGTTTGGAGATGTGTTCTGGAAGGAAGCCACCCTTGCCCAGTCCTGTGCCAATGTGAGGGCCCTGACCTACTGTGATCTGCATGTGATCAAGCGGGATGCCCTGCAGAAAGTGCTGGAATTCTACACAGCCTTCTCCCATTCCTTCTCCCGGAACCTGATTCTGACATACAACCTGAGGAAGAGGGTGAGTTAAAAGTTTCAGTTATTTTCTACAAAGAACAGTCCCTGTGCACTTTGGATAATCACTGTGACCAGAAAAGTCCCTTTGCTGTTTATTTAAGTAGAGTAATTGGTTCTAAAGAGGTTCTGTTTGTTGTTTGCTCCGCGGGGCTTTTGCTATAAAATGGTGGAGAGAGGGGATGTTGCTAGATTAGAAGATGGATCCATTTTGGTGCAGAAGGGATTTATTCATGTGTGTGCTGGGGGCAGGGATGTGGCTTTTTTTTTTCCCCTCATCAATATCTAGAGCTCCTAGCATTTTGAAAAGATGAGTAAAGCGTGAGGTTGCTAGTCAGCAAAATGGCTCTGTGGGGCCACTTAATTACTGCAAACTGAATTCTCTGCGGTGACTGGGATTTGCTGAGTAGTGTGAAGCCATTAGCCTGTCAGCTAGTAATGATAATTTTTTAACAGATATGAAAATGACTTAGTTGGGTCCAGAGAATAAGAGAGACATGGAATTTGTTCGTCTAGAGAATATTTTGCATGCAACTGCCAACTAAACTGGTTGAGAAATGATTGGTGGTTTAAGAACCAGAAGATTTTTCACCTTAAGTTGTTTCTTCCACTCTCAAATCATCAGAACTGCTCCATCTGTCTCTGTGAGGATTAAAGTATTGGTCTCATACTTTTGGGGTTTTTACGACAGATTTTCTTGCACTTCGTCTCTCTAACTCTTTTGGTTAAAACAATAATAAGATAGCTCTGCACCTGGAGAAATCATGGAAAGGTTGTCATAGGAATCTTTCCTAAAATGACTACTTAATCTTTTCCCCAACCTGCTTCTTGTCTCATGGTTCCTATTTACATTGTCTAATTTGTCCTGGGAAACCCTGGCATCAACGTTGATGCTGCTTTTCCCTCTCTGAAGCCTCGTGTTACTCATCAGATCCTGTTGGTTCTATTTAAGCTCTCAAATCTAAGTCAGTACTTTGCCTTCATCCTCAAGGCCCCCACAGAATTCTCAGGACACAAAGCTCTTCATTAAAAACCTTCCTCATGCCCTAGCTGGATCATGCAGTGGGCTCCAAATTCACCTTCCTGCCTCATGTCTGCCCTCAGTGGAGTGCTTCCTTCTTATGGCTGCTTGACTAACCTTAAAAATCTGATCTGTCACTCTCCTACCTGACGAAAGGATATTATCTGTACATTTCAGCATGGTGTATGTGGTTGTCCACATCTGGCCCAAACTTAACCCCTGAGCCCTGACCTCAACTTCTCTCTATGCCCACCCTTCCCACCGTGAATTGCCACCATGAGAATTCCACACAGTTCTCCAAGCACACGACACCCCTTCAGAGTGCTGTGTCTCTGCCTGCTGCTTTCCCAACCTGGAATTCTTTTCTGTATGTGACAAACCCCTGTTAGCCCTAAAAACTGCTGAAATGTTTACTTTTTTATTCATCAAACCCAGTATTGTACCAACTGAACTAGACTAGACTTATAAAACCCAATGATACTCAGTTCCCTATCTCCAGGAACCTAAAGTCTAATAGAAAAGTTAACACAAGAAAGATAATTGCGTAGAAGATGGTAAGTACAGTGATTGTGATTTGAACAAGGTTTTATGGGAGCATAAAGGAGGCGGACAGCTAAAGGGAGTCAAGGATTAATTGTCAGGGGTGATACCTGAGCTGAGTCCAAAGAACGAGTTTGCCAAACAGAAGGGACTAATGATCTACTGGGAGGGACAATTTGCACAAAGTCTGGAGAAAGGAAACAACCCTTTGTCTTCTAAGTCCTTTGTGCAAGGTTCCAATGCCTGTCACTGGGCTACCCCAGCAATATTCCTCAACCTGTTTTAAATCCCTTGGACTATCTTGTGGGTCCCTGCACAGAGACCTGTGAAGGCAAGGGCTTGGTACCTTAGTATCCTCAGTGCATAACCAAGTGTGGGGTGCCTAGAATTAATAAAAGTTTGAGAATGGCAAGGAGAAACAGATGGGATCTCTGGGCCTCAACTTCCACATTATAAAACGCAAGATTGTGGCGAGATGGTTTTTATAGTTCTGTGGTTTGAAACCCGGCCATTTAAATTCTAGTGGAGGGTGGGCGGTGGTGGAGAAATGTGCATCCAATGTTCTTCCTGGTTGATCTGTTGGTTGGAAACATGGATGCTTGCTGGTGATACATTTAGCCAAGTGGATTCTCTTATAGTCTATTTTTTGATGTATTCCTTCTTTCTGTGAAAGCAAGTTGATTATAATCAGCTTTCAGTGTTGCTGATAATATAGGTTGAAAAAATACGCAGTTTGGGTTATTTGGAGGAGTAATCTTCTTGGAATAATTGTGGCTCAAGTAAATCTGTCTTTAAAAAAAACACAAGAATGACAACAAAAACAATGACACCTCAGTGGTCAGGTTTTTTCTGTAAGTACAGAGTGATAGCTCTGCAGAAGAGAAGACTCAGGGGCTACATTTTTGAAGGGCTGTTGTGAAGGAGTTTTTATAGCCACAGGGTACAGAGGAAGAACCAAAATTATAGACAGATTTTGGCACAGTATAAAAAGTCTTTTGAAAAAAAATCAGAACTCCCAAAAAAATGAAATAGGCTGCTTTGAGTGTATCAAGTTCATTATTATGAGGGTACTTAGGCATCTCCTAGGTACCCATACTCAGAAACATTGTGGAAGGGACTTAGGCAACTGTTGGAGAGTCAGACTAACTGACCTGCAAATTTCCTTCCAGCTGTGAGTGACTATGTATGAGTCTGGTATGGATCCAAAGGAATTTTAGTGAAAGCCTTTGTGTAAAGAGGTAGCCATTCTTTTTTGGAAAAAAAAAAAAAAAGAGGCTTGTCATTTTGGTATTGCCATTGTAGTCTCTTGTGTCCTTCTGAGAATTAATTTGTAGTTACGTAGGGCATGGAAGACAAGAACATTACATGCATGAATTATTCTTGTAGCTATTTTTTTTCCTGGTAAAGTGAAGTGTATTGTTGTAGCTGTTTCTATCTTGGCAAAATTAAGTGTTTTATTTGCTAAGATTCTTGACAACAGAGTGCCTTTGACGTCTGTCTGGGGAGTTGCTTGATCTTGCAGATCTTCTCCAATGTGCAGTAAAGACTCTGAGCTGGAAGATGACTTGGTAACCATTCAGTCTTTTCCCTACTTCCCTAACATCCTCATTTCACCTTTTATAGAAAGGTCACAGAGCTGGGTTGGTAATGAAAGAATTGGAGCCAGAAGTGACACCTTGACTAAAGCCTTCCTGATCACAGCTCCCTGTCCTACTCTAGCCTCTGTATTCTAAGCCACATTCCTTTTCCCCTAAATCCAAGGGTATGAACATCACCTAGCTCTCAGCTCTGCTCTTGGAACCCAACTCAGAAAGAAACTGTTGATTTCCTCCATTTCCTCCAAAGCCACATGAGGGCACAGACAAGGATGAAAGAGGCAGAACCTGGAGGCAAATCCAGCATTTTGACCTTTAGTTTTTCTTGCTTGTGAGGTCTGAGCCAGGTGAGACTTTGGTCTGGGTCCTGCTTCTGCCACTTATTGCTTCTATAATTCCGGATAAGCTAAAAAAGTTTCCTTTCTGTAAAATGGGGATGATGAAAATGTCTAACTTGTAGGGTAGTTGCAAGCATTAAATAAGATAATATTTGCAGAGCTCACATGAGTGCAAAGCTACATAGCGAGTGCTCAATTCATTTGTGTGTTATTGTTATTTTGTTCCGTACACTTGATTGATACCCTATTCTTTATTATCCTGTGCCTTTTGAAAAGTAAAAAGAAGGCGGTTCCTCTGCCTTTGTTCACGCAGGGTTATTGCCCTGCACAATGTTCTGTAGGGTAGGTGTTAGCCGTAGGTTCTCTGCACCTCTTGCAGCAAAGGAGGGATCAGTCACTCTGAGAAGTGGAATCCATTGCTGGCCTTGCTGCCTCTCCAGCTCCTGCCAGTGAAGAGGTCAGCAATTGCCCACCGTTTTGGCCAGTTCCATTCTTGGAGGGAAAAATCAGGCTATTTTGAGATCTTAGGTCAGTTAACAGGGAGTCTAGAGGGAAGCACAAAAGAAAAGCATAGCATTATTGTTTCTTCTGAGGGAGGTGGCTTGTGGCTCTTCATGAAAAGAAGGGGAATTAGAGCCTTCCTCATCAAATCCTTGGCTCTCTAGGGTGCCAGGTCTACGTGCATTTTCCTCCAGGCCTGGTTTCATCTTGTAGCTGTGATCAGAGCTTTGCAGACTATAAACAGTAAGTTATTACCAACTCCAGATATTGTGCAAGCTACGTCACTGTATCAGTTTGTGTATGTCAGCTTATTACATCTTTGGAACAGCCTCATGATATTACCGTATCATTCCCATTTCTCAATTGAATAAACTAGGACCCTGTGAGGAAGAAAACCCCTTTTCCAAGATTGCCTGGTTAATAAGTGGCAGATTCCAAACCTGGCATGTGCTCTTCTGGCTAAGCAGTGTCACATTCTGTGGCAGCCTCAGTGAAGGGTGGCTCTCAGCTGTTCCCATATTGGTATTCTTTGGCCTCTGCATTCTACTCTGTTAACTTTTCAGGGGAGGCTTGTGTTGTCTCCTAAGTATCTTTCTCCAGTGGCCTTTGCCACCGCCAGTACACTCAGAAACATGTATGGTAAAACCACAGTAATACCCCAGGTTGGGAGATGTGACAAATTTCCCCCTCGTAGTGACAGGGACACAGCAGGTAGCTGGGTGTGCTGGGTGTGCTGGATGTGGGAAGCATGACATGTTTCGCTTTGGTTAGGCAGCGGGTTAACCCAGCCATGCTGTTAGTAACTCACTAGAAAGGGCAGTGCTTTGAGTCTAAGGACTAGGTTTGAATACTGATTTGACTGCTGACCAGCTATGTGCCTTTGGGCAAGTTACTTAACTATTCAGAGCCTCAGTTTCCTTGTCTGTGAGAAGGGGCAGTACAAGTCCTTCCTAATTAGGTTTTTTACATTTTATGTATATATTTTAAGTTCTGAAATACATGTGCGGAACAT